TTTTAGTTATAAAGATATAATACATCACCCCGTCAGACTGCGTTGAATAGAAACATGCGTGCGACGGCATATCGACTGTAATATGTTCGCGTGCATTCGGCACGTGTATGTATGTATGCTAGGACGCGGTGGGTTATCGTATTTCAATGCTCGCGTAGGACGGCGATCTGCCTGCCTTAAGAGAAATGTCAAAAGTTACACTTAAAGAAGTCATATTATCGCAGCGTGGCAGTCCATCTTGCCTCCAGCATCCCCTAGTGACAGACGTAAAACGATTGGTTTTGATTTTGACGTGAATTATTTATCATTCTAATTTGCCTAATGCGATGGCTATCACGTTGTTGATGGTGTGGTAGCGTAAAGGCCTAGGTGACATTGGTCCACGGGGAACGCTGCTCTCCTAATTAAATTGCTGAGTGTGTATGTGTGTGTGTCGGAGAAATAACTTGTTCTTTGGCAGATTCGTGAAGCGATGTTACGAACTCGCCCAACCCCTTCTCATACGCACACACAACCACACACGCACGTACGCGCGCACACACACACGCACACACACGCGCGCGCACACACACACACACACGCACACGCACGCACACACATATACACGCACACACACGCGCACACACACACACATCTACACACGCGCGCGCGCACGCACTCGCGCACACACGCATAAGTACACACGCTCGCTCGCACGCACGCACACACATGAACACAAACACACGCGCACGCACGCACGCGCGCTCGCACGCACGCGCACACACACGCACACACACGCGCACGCACGCACGCGGGCGCACGAGCACGATCATGTATTTCTGTAAGGCTGTGCTTGTTGTACGTGTTGTATTCAACGTCGTAGGTTTTAGCAGACGATGACTGAAGCTAGCGATGTATCGCACGTGGACCGAGCTGTCAGTGGATTTCCCGTGGTTCAGTGACGTCTAGACCCGCGCTATAAACCCCCAAAATCATAATAACCCACACTCATCTGACTTGGCTGTGTGCAGGCCCTGACTCTTAACTCCTGCGCGTAAGCGTTCTCCGGCAAGAATGTCAAAGGTGTTATGAACGACAGTAGTTGATGCTACACGGCTCAACGTCTTCTGCTTAACCGATACTGGGAGTTTCATTGAGAGAAAGAAGAACAAATGAGGAGGTACGACAAATAGCTGGAGCAAGAAACATTAAGAAAGTTGTAATGCAAATTAGGATGAGATGGTATGGGCATGTGGTTAGGAGGGAAGATGAAGAGCAAATGAAGAGAGCATGGCAGGAGCCGGTGAGAGGAAGAAGGACGAGAGGACGACAGAGAATTAGATGGAGGGATGGGGATGGGGAGAAGGAGAAGGAGAAGGAGAAGGAGAAGGAGAAGAAGAAGAAGCTCTGTGTCTTCTGGCTGGGTCAGTGTGTATCGTGTCGCCGTGCTGGGCGGATAGCACTGCATAGCTACTGAATGTCACACACCTGTGACACCGACACAGGTCTGTGTGTGTGTGTGTGTGTGTGTGTGTGTGTGTGTGTGTGTGTGTGTGCGTGCGTGCGTGCGTGCGTGCGTGTGTGCGTGTGTGTCTGTGTGTGTGCGTGTGTGTGTGTACCTACCAGCAGATGCTGCCGTGCTGTGTCTTGCTCGGAAGAAGTACTGAAATATTGAAAACGAGTGCATGAAATATTGAATTCCGTGCAGGTAATCTCTTAATTGACAGCGTAAAGGTCATGATTCTGTGATGTTGTTGTGATGGAGGTTTATTGCTTATACGCGGGGCCTGTCATGCGGCGTAATGTTCGCTTCCGTAGATCATGCTCGTTTGATGTTTTCAGTAAGGCTCATTAATTGTTAAAGCCTGGACAGCACAGTTTTTCCACAATGCTTTTCCCCTTCCGCTGTACTTGGCTCGCGTTATGTAATGTTTTACAGATGACACGCTGTAAAATGATGGATTTTGTTTTGAGTCCACTCGTTTTGTTGAATTTCGTCGCGCATATCACGTCACGAATAGTCATAGCAAACAGCACCAGCAAAGTGCAATAAATCAAGCTTGATTTTACCGGGGGGGGGGGGGCTTTTAAAAGTGATAAATCTGTGAATACATTATCGAATTATTATAGCAGATCCGTGTGAGGGAGGAGGAGGATGAGGATGAGGAGGAGGTGGAGGTGTGTATCCATCTCAGTGTTCGGTGTAGCGCACCTGTTTGGATAAATTCGGTGAACACTTACCAGGAGTTGACGACTAATGTAGGGCACACGCGCTCGCTGCTTGTATGTGGCATATACACACCTTGCCCACGAATCGTGTGAATGACTCATTCTGTGCAGGTGACGTTAGCTGAATGATTCCATGACTATGTGAAAAGCGCCCAGAAGCCATTACATCCTGGTAAATTGCGGCCCTCGTCTAATTACGCTATTAATGTATTCCGCTGAGGTTGAGTGAGGGTGTGTGTGTAATTGCATGCACGCTTGCATACGTTTGTGAGTATATGAGCGCGTATGTGCGTGCGTGCGTGCGTGCGTGCGTGCGTGCGTGCATACGTTTGTAAGTATGAGAGCGTAGGCCTATGTGCGTGCGTGCGTGCATACGTTAGTGAGTATGAGCTTGTATGTGCGTGCGTGCGTGCATACGTTAGTGAGTATGAGCTTGTATGTGCGTGCGTGCATACGTTAGTGAGTATGAGCTTGTATGTGCGTGCGTGCGTGCATACGTTAGTGAGTATGAGCGCGTATGTGCGTGCGTGCGTGCATACGTTAGTAAGTATGAGCGCATATGTCCGTGCGTGCACGGGTGCGTGTGTGCATACGTCCGTGAGTATGAGCTTGTATGTGCGTGCGTGCGTGTGTGCATACGTTAGTGAGTATGAGCGCGTATGTGCGTGCGTGCGTGCATACGTTAGTGAGTATGAGCTTGTATCTGCGTGCGTGCGTGTATGCATACGTCCGTGAGTATGAACGCGTATGTGCGTGCGTGCGTGTGTGCGTGCGTCCGTGAGTATGAGCGCATATGTGCGTGCGTGCGTGTGTGCGTGCGTGCGTGTGTGCATACGTTAGTGAGTATGAGCTTGTATGTGCGTGCGTGCGTGTATGCATACGTTAGTGAGTATGAGCTTGTATGTGCGTGCGTGCGTGTGTGCATACGTCCGTGAGTATGAGCGCGTATGTGCGTGCGTGCGTGCGTGCATACGTCCGTGAGTATGAGCGCGTATGTGCGTGCGTGCGTGTGTGCGTGCGTGCGTGTGTGCGTGCGCTCATCCTGTGCT